TGGAATCAAAGCAGAGACAATTTTCACAATGTATCTGGATTCAGTACCCATACTTCATTTTCTATTCGAAATTCAGTGTAGTGTTAAATGGGAATTCCACTGGATAATAAGAAAAAATAAAAACCAACATGGGTAATAAGAAAAAATAAAAACCAACATGAATCCTGATAAAAAGCAGGGAGAGCGTATTGATGAAAGAAAAAAAAAAGCATGTAGGTGAGGCTGGATGTGACAGACATGTCCCCAATGCTCAATGCTGAGCTGTCTAAATCTGATTCAATTATAATAGTGAACCCCTGAAGAGTTCTGAGAAAGAAAGCGACATGGTGTAAATGTTGCTTGAGAAAAACTGGTCTAGTAACTAAACATAAGATGGATTGGAAGAGAAAACATAAAATGTTGAAAGACAACCAGAAACCTGGTGGAGGAGGAATCCACAAGATTTAGTGACTAGGTATAGGGCATGGAGTGGTGACTAAGAGGGAAGCATATTATTTCCGGCTGGGCGAAGGGGGGGGGGTTGGTGGATCACGGTGCAATTGTTTCATTGAAAAGCAATGACATAGTTTAGTTACAGTCCGAAAGAGGAGGAAAAAAAGAGTACTGTTTAAATAATGCTTTATTTCATAAGGGAAATAAAGGAACATAAAGAGTTTTTTCCTTTCATCTTGGCCTCACTGCCAAGGCATGTACTTTCTAATAATTCGGTTTAGAACATTTGAAAGAATTACAACATGGCAAAAGAAAGTCGTAAAAGTAAGTCATTGATGGGGCGCCTGGGTGGCTCAGTCGGTTTAAGCGTCCAACTTCGGCTCAGGTCACCATCTCGCAGTTTGTGGGTTTGAGCCCCACGTCAGGCTCTGTGCTGACAGCTCAGAGCCTGGAGCCTGCTTTGGATTCTGTGTCTCCCTCTCTCTCTCTCTGCCCCTCCCCTGCTCATGCTCTGTCTCTCTCACTGTCTCTCAAAAAATAAATGAAAGTTAAAAAAAAAAGTAAGTCATTGATTTAATGTAAAAGGCGACAGATCAGGTGAATCAAAAGATAGGAGATGAAAGTGGAAGGCTTTACATAGACAGGATATGACTTACTGAAAATCCAAAGTTACAGCCTAGATCCAGTCGTAGAAAGAAGGAAAAATGTGTGTTTCTCAATTTTTCTTTGCTGGATGACATTTGAAAGGTGCTTATTTTGTTTCTTGGATCATTTTTAAGCCAGCAGCGCCCCTCAGTTCAAGTCTAGATGTCCTGAAAGTCACATCAAAGGAAGAATCAGTATCTTGCACAAAGCAGGCATTCAGTAGACATCGTGGAATGAAGAAATTAAGGATTTTCAGGACTCAGTATACATGAAGTGAGAAAAGAATCAGGAGAATCAAATCCAGTAGCAAAGATGAAATGGGCTAGAGTCCGTATGCTGCAACTCAATGAAAGCCAAACTACTAGAGAAATGAAAAATGAGGCAGTGAGTCTCTGGTTTGGTTTGTAATTCCTGAAGCTCTTTCCTTTTATCTTGGTTTCTTTTGAGGTCAGAATCACCCTCTGCGGTTTAGATCTGGATAAAAAAGTGATTAGTTATGACAAAGGTAAAAAACTTGACATTTCTCAGCTCTTGTGATCCTATCCAGGACCAACTATGAAAGCCAGGATCCCATGGGGCAGAGTTAGTTTTATTCTATTTTTCCTCAAAAACTTACGACCAATATGTTTGCATTTGACAGACCAAGTGATATTTCTCAGCAGTTGTTCCAAACAAACCTTTACCACTCTCAACTCCCTACTGCATGTTGCTCTACTTTGCACTCAGCAGAGCACCTAGCAGTTCTGCTTAATCTAGATGTAAGGTGATAACCTTGCAGACAAGAGCTACCTAGAAAAAAACCCAGGCTCTGGATTCTTGGCTTGGCCAGCTTTTCCAGGGCCTGGCTAAATCAATGATCTCTTTATCTTCAGTCTCTCTCTGCCTGCCCCTGTTGCTGATTATTCACATACTTGTGTTTCCCCTATCCTAGAAAATTCCCTTCCTTTTGCCTCTCCACCACAAAACTTCTTAGAAGCTTTTATTTCCTACTTCCAACTTTCTGACCTTCCTCCCTTTAGCCCCTCGGCCACAGTATTCTGGCTTCCACTCTCACCGTGCCAAAGAAAACTGCTCTGGCAAAGGTCACAAAAAACATATGAATGATAAGATATGAGGTCTTCTTTGAATTCTATTTTAATTCTCTGCGGTGTTGGGCTCTATGGAATACTTCTTTCCTGGCCTCTGAGACACCACTCCTTTATTTTTATACCTGTTTAGAAGTTTAATTCATTCATTCCTCAAATTCTGCCCATCTCTGAAATGTAGGTGTTCCTAAAGGTTCTACCCTGGAATCTCTTCTCATGCCAACACACCCCCTACCTGCTCCGTTAGCATCAGGAATTGCCTGAATATTCCCAATGCCTCATATCCGGGCTGTCCCCACTCCTGTAGCTCTCTCCTCAATAAGCATAGGTTAATCAGGAAACAAATGAGCCACTACAAGAGGAATTTCACCCATTACCTCCACGAATCCTGACATTTCTTTACTGACACACCCCTTGGCACTGGAGATAGACCTCCCCTCAACCACCCATACCAGCCCTCTAAGTAAATAAAAACCAATGGGAGGAGATTCTCTGTGCAGACACTATGTGCCAACATTCCCTCCAGAGATAATGAGATGGTCCTAAAGTCAGCTGCAGTAGTAGCTTCTAGAAGGAAGGAGAGAGTTGGAAGTACCACATGGGTGTTTCAGTTTGATTTTGAGTTTGAGGGGTAAGAGGAGTTTGAGTTTTTTCTCCTTTGAGACCTGGCTTGCAGCTGGTTCCCAAATCCCACCCCTCTGCATGTGTGGACAGTATAGAAGACTGAGAAATTGTCAGGAGAGAGGAGAAAGGGGCTACCTTCCAGGTTCCAACAGCCTCCTCTTAAACTTCCTGCAAGCATCCCAAACACAGCTGCTCTGCGACTGAGCTCAGCCCTCTGCTTGCACTCCCATTCCAGGAAACCGCATCACCTTTCACCCTCTTGGCCTAGATGGAAACTTCTGTTTGGGGGGACTTCCCTCTTTAGCAGTGTCCCATTCAGTTCTGAGGCAGCGACCTCTCTTCAGACTGGCTCCTTCCAATGCTGGACCAGCCCCCTGCCATCTCCATACCTCTGGTCTCTACCCCGTCCAACCTGTGTCCCACTGTAGCCAGAGGGACGTTCTCAGAACATATATGGATCACTCATTACCTCCTTTCATTAAAACCCGCCACCGATGGGGCGCCTGGTGGCTCAGTTGGTTAAGCATCTGACTCTTGATCTCGGCTGAGGTCATGATCTCACAGTTTTGTGAGTCTGAGCCTCGAGTCAGGCTCTGCGCTGGCAGCACGGAGCCTGCTTGGGATTCTTTCCCTCCCACTCTCCATCTCAAAATAAATAAACATTTGAAAAACACACTGGCAATGTCTAGGCTTTCGGTGGGGCTTATGAGGTCCTTTGTAACCTACCTTGACTTGTCTTCCATTTTCATCTCTGGTGACTCCTTCCCTCACCCAAGCATCAATGGACATTTTGTAATTTTTCAAGTACTATGAGCCAGGCACTAATCTAAACATTGTAATACTGTGAACATGAAAAAAAAAAAAAAAAAAAAAAAAAAAAAAAAAAAAAAAAAAAAAAGCCCCTGCTTACATTCAAGTCACATTTTAGTAGGAAGAGGCAGTGAATAAACAAGATAATATCAATTGTGATATGGCACTATGAGACAATGAAAAGGAGTGTTGGCGGGAGGGTCAGCTATTTTACATACAGTGCTCAGGATTGGCCTGAGAAGTTAACGTTTAGTTGAACTTGAACCAGGAGGAGGAGCCAGACAAGCAAAGACCTGGTGTTGAGTATTTGGGGCTCTTTGAACAGCATGTGAGAAAGGCCTTGAGGCAAGAACTAGGTTGACAGCATGGCATTTTCAAGGTTCCAAAACAAAGCAGTTAGGCTGCACCTTATTATATACTCGTGAGGGGGGCAATGAGGTGAGGCCAGATCACAAGGAATTTGGATACTATTTTAAGGGCAAGAGGAGTCTTTTGAAAGATTTTGAGTCGAGTGACATGCTCTGGATCACTCTGGCTCTTCCTGCAGAAGGGGTTTTGGTGGAGCAGAAGGGGAAGCGTGGAGACCCGTTCCATGCCTTAAGGCTTATGCTCAGGCCATTTCTAAGCCTGGAATGACTGTCTTGACTAGGACGGTTCCCAGGGTCATTGATTACTGCAATTCTCTCAGCCCAGGTCTAGCCTGGTTTAGCAACCGAGAAGAGACAAGGAGTAGTTCCCTGACATCCCTGCCTCTCCAGCCCTTCAGTCATCCAACAGACCACTCACTGGCCGCTGGAGACAGGAATCCCGAGGCCTCCCGCTGTCACGAGACCACTTTTTTCATTTCGTGCCTCGGTCTGTTATCAAGGGGCAAGTCTGAGACGAAGTTTGGCGAGTCAGTGGAAAACACACGCCCATGGGTTAGTGGTACAGAGGAGGCTTCTCCCGAAGACGATCGAGGAGACCACCTCACAAGAGACAGCTCCGTCGAAGCCGAAGAGCCGCCGAGACCCAGGCAGCGCCGCGGCCGTCAAGGCAGGATATGGACTACAATTCCCAGCAGCCTCTGCGCGCGGCTGCCGATCCCTCCGCAACAACTTGCTGCGCTGGCTGTGCCCCTCGCAGCCCGACAAAGACCACGCCCAGGGTGTTTTTGTTTTTGTTTTTTTCCCCAGGAATTGAGATCCAGCTTCTTATCACACATCTCCAGAGAGAGGCCACTGGGTGCCCTGGAGGAGAAACGGACTTTTTTGAGGGGAAACGCGGATGCAGACTGTCGGAGAGACGTCGTGCTAAAGTCACCGACTTTCGCGCGCTTTGGCGCAGGGGGTTGTGGGTAGCGCGCCTAGAAAACGAGAAAGGAGCCGGGGGGCCGTGGCTGCGCCGCCCGCAGGGCCTGAGGGGATGTTCGAGGACGAGCCCCACGCTGAGGGGGCGGCGGTGCTGGCCGCCGCCGGGGAGGCGCTGCAGGCTCTGTGCCAGGAGCTGAACCTGGACGAGGGGAGCGCGGCCGAAGCCCTGGACGACTTCACTGCCATCCGGGGCAACTACAGCCTAGAGGTGAGCGGCGGCAGGTGGGGCGGCCGGACCAGACCCCTGCCAGGCCCCACCCTCGCCCCGCCCCTACCCCACCCTGTGGGGCGGTGGGAGTTTCCCCGCCGGGAAGGGTCGCTGCCCAGCCGGGAGCAGAGGAGTGCGAAGCTGGAAGGGCGGGTGTAGACCAATCTATCCGTTTTCTTTCTGAGGCGGGAAACCGAAGTCCGGAAGAGGAGCGGAGGGTCACACGTCACTCGGGGGGCCCCTAGACTCCAGACCAGCTTCCCTCCGCCCCGTCGAGCGCCGCAGACGTCATGATCGTGCCCGTAAACTTGTTAAAAAACCAAATACCATAATGGTAAAAGCTAAAGTGAAGTTAGTGCCTACACCACTGCCCAGCTCTTTAAATCTGTTATCTCACTTAGTTCTCACCACGACCCTGGGAACCCGACCTGGGATCGCCATTCCACGAAAGGGCTTAAGCTTTGGCCTCCCACCCTTTGGCCTCGTCCAGGCGGAGGTGTGGGGTACTCGCTTTGAGGAAAGGCTCTCAGCCCCAGCTTGCTCCTGTGTCCGTATCCTGATGCTTAGCACAGTGCCTGGTTCTGGATAAAATAAGTGTAAACCATCGTTAGATTCTTCCCAACCATTCTTGCATTGAGTCCTCCCCCACCGCCCTGTGAATATGGCAGGGCCGAATTATACCTGCTTTCCAGGTAATAATATCAAGGCCCAGAGAAGGGTCTTCCTCAGGGTCGTTCTGCTAATTATTATAGGAATCCAGACAAGGAATGCAGTGGAGAGATGGCATTGCGGCGGAGTGTGTTTCATTATATTTAAATTCAGAGGTTTTGTTTCATGATCCAAGGGGTCTAGACACACACACACACACACACACACACACACACAGTGCTCCACCGACTCACCACCCAGCGAAATAATTAATTGGTGGGTTCAGAAGCACATAGTTGGATATTTGAAATTGAGTATGTGTGTCTGTATATGAGGGAAAAATACCTAGGAGACACTCTTCGTATGTCTCTACGGTAGGACTATTGTAGACTGGATAAAGGACAGTGACCTGCATCCATGAGTGGCATGACTGGAAAGCTGAAGGAAGAATAAGAAAGGGAGATTATGAATTATGGCCGCTCAGTGAAAACAAACTAATGTCTAAAAGCCCAAGAAAGTGTTTCCGACATCCCAAGTCCTCTTTTGGTCTGTCGCTGAATAAGCATTTACTGTGCAAACTGGTCAGGGCATTAAACCAGACACCTCTTTCAGATTCTTGAACATGCCAAGTTTCTTCCCACTTGTGTACTTTCTTCATGCCACACCCTCTGCCTGGAAACTTTTCCCACTCACCAACAGGCAAATTGAAGAACTAAATCTCCAGTTAGGGGAAGTTAATCAGGACATCTTGAATGTTTGATTTAGAGAGCACAGATCTGTGAATTAAGATTTGGTGAGGGTTTATTCTGTCCAGAGTCTTTTATATTCTTCCTCTTCTTTTACTTTTTAAATTAACTTATCTATTTGAGAGAGAGGACGAGCAGAGAGGGGCAGAGAGAGAATCCCAAGCAGGCTCCACACTTACAGCGCAGAGCGGGAATCAGGCTCCATCCCACCAACCATGAGATCATGACCTGCACCCAGAAGCAAGAGTTGGACACTCAACAACTTAGCCACCCAGCCGCCCCTCCTTTTTTTTCTCTTTTGTTTGTTTTTGGTGAAAGACTCTTAGAGTAGGTATTTTCATAGATCTACTGGTTTTTATAAGGCAATCTTTAAAAAAATTTTTTTAAGAGAGAGATCATGCACGCAAGCAGGGGAGGGGCAGAGAGAGAGAGGGACAGAGGTTCTGAAGATGTGGGGCTGGAGGGACTGAGATGTGGGGCTGGAACACGTGAACTTCGAGGTCATGACCTGACCCTAAGTCAGACACTTAACCAATTGAGTCACCCCGGTGCCCCTCTGTTGTTAAGAAGCCCTGTCCCCAG